CGTTGGTGGGATTCTTTCTACTTGGAACGAGTGTAAACTGTAAAAAACGACATCCCACGCCTAGAGACTATCACCGTGGTGTAGTACCTGTTCTTACATAGGAGAGAGAGGATCGCAATAGAGAAAGTTCGGTTTTCCTTCACTTCATTACGCCTTTTTCTTCTGTTTCGAGCAACAGATATATGTGTCTATATAATACAGTACATCATTATGCTATATGGTACGGCATGCCGATGACGAAGTATGCAGTAGTGTACCGAGCATTTATTTACATAGTAGACGAGTGACCGGGGGGAGATGAGACGGTAGCTCAAAGTAGATAGAGACAGAATGAAAGATCGCTGTCACATACATTTACATACCGATACATCCTCTATATGTGTATGCGCGTGTATGTCACTATCGGAGGAAACGATTTTACAAAAGCGGCTTTTCGCAAGATCTGTCACGGATCTTTGCTCTTTCCACTTTGGCTTTCGTATCTTCGTTGATTTCTCCTCTGCCCGGACACCTACGACTTTCTGTGTCTCTCTTTTCCTCTTTCTCTCTCTCTCTCTCTCTCTCTCTCTCTCTCTCTATTTCTCTCTTTCTCTCTCTGTCTGTTTCTCTCACCTTCACACAAACACACGAACACGCATGCACACACACACCCTCTATCTTTCTCTCTCTCATCTCTCCTCTTCTGACTTTTGCTCACTCTCACTCTCTTTCTCTCCCTTTGTTTCGTTTTGCCTTCACTTCGTTGCTCGAGTCTCTATACCGTGTATAGCTGTATAGCTGGAAGGCTAAATGTCGAACACACGCGGAGAAGAAGAGACGGGATGGCGGCTGCTGTCGAACACAGTGTTCCGAACGGAAGACTGAAAGGCGTGAAGGACGGGTTGTACAAACGCGGATATTTGGGAGGACACTGTGGCCGGCAACGGTCGATCGAGCCCGTAAACGCGTGTTCCGACACGACACTGTACGACATATTAACGACCGGATACGCACAGGGAAACTCACGAAGGCTGCGTGGTTAAAACCGATAGTAGAGGATTGTTTGAAAATTGCATGCTTGTGCCGGCTGAGCGTTGCAGTGGTGTGTCGCTATATTAACACGAGAGAAAGAAAAGAAAAGAAAAGGAAAGGGAAGGGAAGGGAAAGAAAGAAAGAAAGGACAGTTCCGTCTGACGAGATTTTAAACCTGTAGAGAGAAAAGAGGAAATGTAGAACGTCTTAACGCATCCTTTTGTCTTGTCAACTTCCGTTAATTGCCACGAAACGAAGCATCACGGCACTTCTCTGTCCGGTCTACTCGTAGGGTTTTACCTTCCGGCCTGGCAAGCTCGCTGTAATCATTTTCCCACGCGGTAGGAACAATGTTCCCTTTCGATGCCGCGCGTTTTCCAAATAGACTCGTTTTTACTCGTTGAACCAACAAAGTTCGACGCTGGAAGAAGGTTAGAGAGCAATTTAGACGACTCGTAGTATAGTCTACCTCCGTTGCTTCGTCCAATTAGCGTTAGAGAGAAGCAGAGAACGTAGTTGAGACGCGTATCGATCGCCCATCGTTACACGTTCCTTGTTACGATTAGCCATCTCTGTTCGTCGACGTTTCGATCGTGCTTGTTCGCTGTTTTCTCTGGCTTCGAATCAATTTCAGCTCCAAGGATGCAAATTTCTTGCGTCTTTGGTGCTAGAGTTCGATAGAGTTATGAATGAAAATGCGTTACTCCCGACGAAACCTGAGATGTTCTCCGTATGTTCAAGTACGTCATGAATTAATCGTGGAATGCTAACATATAGTTATACCATACGTAGTGCGTAGCCGTGAATTAAACGCCCTAGAAGGTGTTAGTCGTGCGTAACAGGTTTTGCGATACTAACAACCACTTTTAACAAAAATCGATGAAATCTGTCGTCAGAACCGGAAGACTGGTGTAATTTCAGACACAACGCTTCCGTTTAACTAAACAATGCTCCGACGAAACGCTTACGGACGCCTCGTGCATACATATACTCTGTCGTCAGAAAGCTCGATTCTTCTGTTTTCCCTTTGTTTTTTTTCCAAAAAACCGGTAAACTGACGCCAGCGTGCGTATGTCGCGAGGTGTGATAGGAACAAGAAGATTTCACATTAACCCGCGAAACGAGTTGACGACATAAAAGACGAGAAAACGTTCCAACCCAACGACGAAGCAAGACAATTACGATCGAACGTTTCGAAGATTAGACTCGACCAGAGGAAATATCTCATACGAGGCCCCATAGGTGCATTGCCAAGAAAAAACATCGAGCACTGGTGGGTTGGATGGATGGCGAGGGCTTAGTTCACGATTAGAAAAAGATTCGAAGGAAAAAAGATACCTACGCTGACAGGACTATCCGTTGAAAGAGACGATTCGCGACAGGAGAAATGGACGAGATCGGAATGATACGCTCCTCGAACGAAGGAAGAGAGACGGACGCGAGCAATGAACGGAAACTATAGCTCTTTCCC